TTCTAATTCTGCACGGGTTTCGACTTTATTATCTATATAATCTTCATGATATCTATTGTCCACTTTTTTTGGTTCATAGTTATGTGATATTCCGAGTTACAATTCTTTAGGTCTCTTTTCTATGTATTCATCCATCTGTACCAAGTTTGTTTGTTTGACCGGATTTTCTGTATTTTTCTTTCACATAAAAGTTAATGTGTCCATGTCTTTAATTTCATTTATCTTTTTTATCCATTGATCCTTCTCCAGTATTTCCTTCTGCTTCCATATTTCACATAGTTTATTCTAGCGACAGTCATCATGTACATGAATATAGTATCTTCATTTGTGTCCAATTTTAAGTCCCCATTGGTAATGCCTAACAAGTAATATTCCGGTTTTCTTAGCAATCAAACTATTAATTAACCAAATTTTGTATATTTTTCTTTGTTAACATTTTAAAATTTTCTTTCTGGTATCAATCATAATCAGTCTACATTGGAAAAGAAATGTGGACAAGATTTGTAACTAGCCCAGGACTCCTGTATTTGCAAACATGCATGGTCCCAGAGCACTTCACATCCAACTCTGCTTCATCAGAGGGATTTTTGCTAACTTGGTAGGTTGCAGAATGTCTCCTTGGTGGGACTCAATCTGACTAAATTCACTCTCCACCACTCATGTGGTAAATCACATCACAGCAGTTTTTCAGTGAAGAACCTTTTTGCCGGATTTCACTCATGGCTCCTTCTGGAGTAGAAGGCACATAGGAAAGTTTTCTATTACCAGAGTAATAAACTATATCCAAGCTCTGATGTGCTTCTGTATTGCTGATGGTTTCTTCAGTCCTGACTCTTGCTTTCTTCTGTTTTTCAGTACAGATTCCTTGTTCCCATCTCCTGTGTGACTCCAGATATTGCCCTTAAAATAGCTCTGAAGCCTATACAGCAAATTGTGGAAGGACAAAATACTGAAAAACCTATCTCTTACCACCCTATCCTCTAGTATGGAAAGCCTGGTCCCGCATGGTTGTGGGACCAGGCTTTTGGGCAATCTGGCAGTTAGATAAGGACAATGACGACCAGAATCGATGGTACTTGACAATGTGGAATGAATTTATGGACTCTGAGATGGTGAACGCTGAGCATTAGATTGTTTTTATTGATTTTGATGTATATACTGACTGTCTTAATTGTTATAATTGCTGTTTACATGTTTTATCCATTGTTATGTTTATGCTGGCATCGAATTGTGCCTTTGTAAGCCGCCCTGAGTCCCCCCTTGGGGGTTGAGAAGGGCAGGGTAGAAATGTGCAAAATAAATAAATAAATAAATAAATAGTACCGTAGTGCCAGTATAATGGATCCTCCTTTCTTACACAACATAAACGAAGGCATTCCAGCCTTCCTTGGAAGAGAGATCCACAATCAGGGCACTAAAAGGGTTTGTTTCACATTCCCACCAGTTATACCTCTTTTGTGAATAAAATACAAAACAGGTTCTCTGAAAATGACTAGCAATGATAGGTAGATTAGGATTATAGAAAGGTAACGTACACCAAATCAGACTACAATTTTATGTAGTTCAGGAATATCAAGTCTGGCTCTGGTATGTCAAGGTTTCATGTAGGAGCCTTTCCTACACCTACATGGATATCCTTGGTATTCACAGGAGGTTTTCCGTCCTGGTACTAATCGCAGTCAACCCAGTTTATCTTTCAAAATTAGTCAAAATCTGGTTTGTCCAGAGTGGTATGATGAGATTTCATGGATTTTGGTTAGTTGATTACAGGCAGGGCAGCCTTTCACATATCTTTGTCCAAAGCCAGATAGCACTTTAAATAGAAGCCAGGATTCTAAATTCACCTCAGAAATACATTTGAAACCAGTCATCCAGATCCTCAGCATGCTTCTTAATTCTATCTTGAACCTTTCATACTTTTACAGATACTGGAATATGTGTTAAACCTTATATCCCACCATATCAACTCGGGCAATTAGTTTTAGTGTTGTTACTGCTAGAGAAACAATATAATATAGGTAGCTAAGTTTCACTCAGAAGTTCTGTCAAGTTAATTTCATCTGGAAGTATTTAGAAAAAGTGAGTATGCATGTGTGTATAATGCATTACTCTAAATAGTGATATGTATTCTTGCATTAAATCAGACAGGCTTATAATTCCAAAGGAGTAGGAAACTGTACTGTGGACTTTCTCAGACATGAAAACTTATTAGCCTAAGTAAACTTGCATTGAACTAGGCAACTGCACATGTTTGCAATTTTATAGGAAAATCTACAGACAATGATAAAATACAGTCTGTAATATTTCCTGTTTTGAAAAGGGGGAAAGGGAACAGTTTACAGATTGATACAATGAAGGCAATACCTGCTTAATAACAAAACTATAGACCAGACTGCTGCTTTGGAGCAGAAACGTACTTCATACCATTTAACTTGGGAAGTCATTAGGACATATAGTAACATTTTTGTTTCAAAAGCCATTGTTGGCTACAAGTTCATTCCTATATTGTTTTGAAGAACTACAATTTTGCAGATTTTGGACTACTGCTTCCAAAATTATTTAAGGAACATGGTCACATAGCATGCTGGCTGGGACAGTTTGGCAGCTGTTGTCTTTAAAAAAAAGTCCAAACTCTGAAAATGTCACAATTCACTGAACTTTACTGAAATACATGACCACCTCAAAGGCAAAATAATGAACCACAAAAGACTCCAATCCAAATGTTTAAATAAGAAACTGGGCTTGTGAATATGCTCCTGCATAGGAAGGCTTGCGTTAGTAAATGTGGTGTTCTAATAAGGTACTTCTGAGTATCATCCCCTCTGCATAATACTCAGTTTTCAAAACTTTGAAAAACATTGAGAGTGCTTTCAGTAGAAAACAAATAGATGCACTCTGTGGAGATAGAAATAATAATAAAACTAGCATATATGTATAGGCATGAATGTACACCTAAGACTTGTGGACCACAGACTTTTTTCATGGTGTTTCCAGAACACTACATGGTGTACTTTCACAAGACCACATTATCACATGAATATGTATAAGAATGCTCAATCTGTGGCTCTTGAAACTTAAAATGGAAATGTGCATCGACTGTCAGTGTAAATGTGTCAAGATCCTGTGAGCTCTGCTTAAATGATATGACATCTGCCATTTTCTCCCTTTGAATCCTTCTTCTTATTAGTTCTCTGGAAAAATCTGTTTCAGGAGGCACCACATTCTTCTACAGCACATTTTGAAGAGACATGTAAATGAAAAGCATGAGGGAAATCACTCTCCCAGGTCTACTGAAAATGTTCATCTAGCTCAGTGGTCCCTAAAGTAAAGCCCACTGGCCAGATGCAGCCCTCCAAGGTAATTTACCCAGCCCTCACCTTAAACTTTAAACTTAAAGGAACACAACAACCATCCTAATTAACTTGATTATCTCATCAGCCAAAAGCAGGCCCACACTTTCCATTGAAATATTGGTAAATTTATGTCAGTGAAAATTGTTCTTCATTTTAAATATTGTATTGTCCTTTCGTAGCTTTTTTTTTTTGCACCACAAATAAGATATATGCAATATGCATAGGAATTCATTCATGTTATTTTCAAACTATAGTCTGCGCCCCCAACAGTCTGAGGTACTGTGAACTTAAACGTTTGAGGGCCCCCTGATGTAGATAATGCAGTTAATGCAAATACCTATACTACAGTGTTTCCTCCCTGCCTTGTAGTTCACCTTACACAGACCTGCTGTTTTGTGGGTTTTTTTTAAAAAAAATGTATTTTTAAAATAAATATGACACTTGTAGGCCACTACCTTCGATGAGCCCTCCACAGCTGTCTTCTCTTCTCCTATCCGCGCCAGGGCCAGCTTCCCCACCTTGCCCCAGCAGCCTTTGCAGGGCTGCCCTGGGCCTCTGTGGCAAATGCCGGGCTTGAGAAGCCAACCCTGGCCAATCAAGGGGCGGGGCCTGCTGCTGGTTGGCAGCTGGCCAAGTGGTGGGAAACCCTGCTGGACAGGGGGCTTCTGGAAAGAAGCCCCCTGCAAGCAGCATAGCCAGCGGGAAGGTGCCCCACCACCGCAATGGCCCTTGCCCGATAAGTCAGGCAAGGCATTTATGAATTTAAAATGACAAAATGTATAAAAATATATTAAAAATATTAATTCTAACATGAAAAGAATATTATAAATAATAGAAAATTATGATTTAGAGTAAATATGATTTTAAATAATATAGTGTCCCTACTTCATGGTTTTTCACTTATTGCGGGTGGTCCAGGAATGTAACTATGAGTTGTATGTAAGTCTGATGTTTATAACTCGGGGACTGCCTGTATAGGTATACATCTGTGTATGTGTTGCTGTATAGAAAATATGGCTTCTCCTGTACTGGGAAATTTTGTGAACCAGCACAAACATATTAAAGTAGCCATAATGAACAGGGCTAATGTGTCAGCCAGCCAGCATAAAACAAAAAAAAATGACTCTACATGAAATTACGGTCCTTGATCTCAACTGGAAACACTGTGAATGCCACACAAGCTGTCTGTATTTCATAAATAAACATATACTATTCAAAACTAATGTTTTAAAATAATAACGGAAACAGAACATGTAGGAGAAGGTGGCTTGTCTCTTTTCTCAACTTGTTTTAGTGCATTCTTTTCATGTAAACATAAAATTCTTTAACATTGCCCTGTCATCTCTGACACGAAACTTGCCACTTAACTCATTTCATCAAAATACTAATTTGATTCAGCTGCTTCTCAAAGGCTCTTTTTCATGAACTGTCTACTGCATATAAACAGAAAAATGAACAGTGATTTCAGAGAGTGTAGACTTTAAAAATCCATTATTGGAATGACTTTTAATATAAAAGCACAATAATGTAAGGTGAGGTCAGGATATATAAAGAAATAAGAACATATGTATTGTCGAAGGCTTTCATGGCTGGAATCACTAGGTTCTTGTGGGTTTTTTCGGGCTATAGAGCCATGTTCTAGAAAACATCATTGCCAATGTTGAATCAGCAATTTATCGCCTCCCCGAGGAGGAAGCAGAAGAAGTACGAGCAGAAACAGCAAGGATCCTGAAAAAGGCAAAACTTCCCTCCAGTAACATTACTAGGAAGGAAAGACAAGCCATCAGAGAACTGAATTCAGATCCGGATATCCTCGTTATGCCAGCAGACAAGGGGAATGCCACAGTTATCATGCATACAGAACAATACAAGGAGAAGATCAGAAAACTCCTGGACCCTACTATATACAAAAAACTCAAGCAAGACCCAACTGCCAAAATAACCAAGAAAACCAACACCCTGATTAAGAACTCCTCCATAAACTTTGACATACGACAACAGCTATGTAAATCGGAAGCCCATCCACCCAGGCTTTATGGACTCCCAAAAATCCATAAGGACTCCACCCCACTCAGACCCATCGTGAGTGCCATTGGATCCCCCACATACGACCTAGCAAAATTTCTTGCTGCACAGTTACAAAGCCATATTGGGCTCACTACACACTACATCAAGGACTCAGCCCACTTCATAGAAAAAATCAGCAATCTCAAGCTAAATACCAACGACAAACTGATCAGCTTCGATGTGGTATCTCTATTTACCATGGTCCTGGTAGCAGACACCATGGCACTCATCAACCAGAGGTTCCCAGAAGACATCACGGCTCTGTTTCACCATTGCCTCACCACCAGTTACTTTCAGTGGGACAATGAATTCTACGAACAGAAAGATGGAGTAGCTATGGGGAGCCCTCTCAGCCCAGTCATAGCTAATTTCTACATGGAACACTTTGAAAAACAAGCCCTGGAAACAGCAACCAAAAAGCCCACTATATGGTTCAGATATGTGGATGACACCTTCACCATTTGGAGCAATGGAGAAGAAGAACTCAACAGGTTCCTGGACCATCTTAACAGCATCCACCCAAACATCCAGTTCACCATGGAAAAAGAAAATGAAGGAAGACTGCCTTTTCTAGATGTCCTAGTCATCCGCAAACCAGATCAACAATTGCGTCACACCGTCTACAGAAAACCCACACACACAGATAGATATCTACATAAAAACTCCAACCATCACCCAAGTCAAAAAAGAAGCACCATTAAAGCCTTGGCAGACCGTGCAAAAAGAATCTGCGAACCCCACCTCCTCCAAGATGCACTGAACCACCTCAACTGGGCTCTCCAGGCCAATGGATACTCCACCTCAGACATCAGAAGAGCTGCAAGACCAAACAAGCCACGAGAGTAAAGATGAAGATCCACCCAGAGGAAAAGTGTTCCTGCCATACATCAAGGGAACCACTGATCGCATAGGGAAGCTGATGAGGAAACACAACATACAAACAATCTACAAACCCACCAAGAAAATCCAACAAATGCTACGTTCAGCAAAGGACAAGAGGGATCCTCTCACCTCTGCAGGAGTCTACCGTATATGCAGCTGTGGACAAGTCTACATAGGGACCACCAAACGCAGCGCCCAGACACGCATCAAGGAACATGAAAGGCACTGCAGACTACTTCAACCAGAGAAGTCAGCCATAGCAGAGCACCTGATGAACCAGCCTGGACACAGCATATTATTTGAGAACACAGAAATGCTGGACCACACCAACAACCACCATGTCAGACTACACAGAGAAATCATTGAAATCCAATTTCAACAGAAAGGAGGAAAACATGAAAATGAACAAAATTTGGCTACCAGTATTTAAAAAATCTCTAAAATTATAACAGCAAAACCCAAACACAGGGAAACGCCAGAGACATCTTAACACCTCTCAACAAAAGATTTTCCCAGGCTCAGGCAGGCCTTCAAATGCTAATGAAGGTGATCAGCTAAACATTCACACCTAACTGCAGCAGGGAAGAGCTCCTTGCCCCACCCCAGCAATTCCACAGATATATAAACCCATTTTTCCTACTTCCAACAGACCTCACACCTCTGAGGATGCTTGCCATAGATGCAGGCGAAACGTCAGGAGAAATGCCTCTAGAACATGGCTCTATAGCCCGAAAAAACCCACAAGAACCTAATAAGAACATATTTATTGAATAGACATCAGGGGCTGGAAGAGAGCTGCAATGAGTGTATAGAGATGGTTGCATCAGTGGATGGATCATGGAGATCCATGATTTGATATACTTGCATTTTTTCCACTCTTTGGCTAAAGTAGACAGTGGGAGAAAAATAGCCATTGCTAATGAATAAACTAAGTCCATAGTGTTGTAGGAAGGGAACCGTTAACTTTACCAACCTGGCTTAAACATCTTCCTTTACCACTGGTGTGGAAAAGGTGCACATATTGAATGCATCTATTCCCCATCCATGGTCTATTAGCGATGCAAGAGGAAAATTTAGATAAGGGAATTTCCTTCCTCTCCATGGCACAACCCAAATTCAAGTTGCCACAGCTCCTAACTATCCCCAACCCAAACTCTCTCCCACAATTGCTAGGAGCCCAAGAAATATATATGAGAGAAGTGATAAATCTCCTGCATTACCTAAGGAGCCTGGACCATCCAATATTAACAGTAATTTCTGGTCTTTGCCCTCACTGAATGCTGCTCCCAAGACATGATAGTTTTTCTCCTTAAAAGTTAATAGTTCTCTTTCTATTAACTGGTGCGGGCTTTGAGTTCAGCAGGAGAAGCCCTTCTATCAGTTCCACCATTGTCTCAAGCATGTTTGGTGGGGACGAGAGAGAGGGCCTTCTCTGTAGTGGCTCCCCAGATCTGGAATAACCTCCCAAAAGAGATTAGATTAGCCCCCACACTTGAATCTTTCTGATCCAGCCTAAAACATGGATTTTAAAGCAGGCTTTTGTCCTCGAGTAGGCTGAAATGTTTTATACTCATGTATAATTTATGTTATATACTGCACCACAGTATCATGTAAGTTGCCCCAAGTCCCTTTTGGGAGATGATGGCAGGATATAAATAAAGATGATGATGATGACGATTATTATTATTATTAGTTCAAAAAAAGGGGAAGGCCACAGGACTCTACAGTATAATATGAACAGAATTACTATTTCCTTCAAAGCATTAAAATATTAGATATAATTGTCATTGAAATTACTATGTATTCATCCCATGGAATATGAATGCATGGGTCTATGTTTTATCTTTGGATTACATATCAATACGTCACGTCAGTCAACTGGAAAGATAGTGGTAAAGTCAAGATTGCTGCAATTTGAGCTCATGCAGTGATAAACTTTTTTGAGCTAAAGAAATGGATGTAAATATGTTTAGAGGACGATCAAAATCAATTATGGTCAGCCAGAGAAAGAGAATACAGATTTAGAGCCGTAGCAAACTAGGATTTTGTGAGAGCAAACTAAGCCAGCACGAGCGATGCTCCGCCTCTTTCTCCGCCTATTTCCCTTTGATAGGGCAGCGTTGAGAGCATATGCTCGTGCCGCAGCAAACTACAGGAAGCTTGCGCTCAGGCTTGCTCCGAAGCCCCGCCTTTTTTCCCCCCGAGGCTGCTCTCTCTCTTGCTAGCGTGCCTGTTTTCCATTGCAGAGGGCAGGGGTGCGAGCGTACGCTCACAGTTGAATTCTGCCAACTGCAAGAGTACACTCGCATCGCTTCCCTAGCAAGGGAAACAGGCACACTAGCAAGAGAGAGAGCAGCCTCGGGGGAAAAAGGGGGGGCTTCGGAGCGAGCTTGAGCACAAGCTCGCTCTCGCTTCCAGTAGTTTGCTACGGCTCTTAGTAAAGCCGCTTTCATTCCAAAGACAGCTTTCATTCCAAAGACAGTTGAATGCAAAGTAAAAGGGCCCTACTTTGCATTCAACTGGACTTATATTACCCACTACTACTATAATGAAATGTAGTTACCATCACATCAATGATTTACTTTCAATATTTTTTTTCTTTCCACATGTTTTGTCACAGAGGAGCTCTTTTCTCTTTGTATGGTTCCAGAACAACATACATTTCACGTAGTTTGTTCTCCCAAAATGGAAGTAAAGCTAATGACAATCTTGATCACATGCCACATTTCTGTATGAGAGGATGATTCTCCAATTAATCTTCAAGCTACTCAATATTATAATTACTGTGGTATTGAGTGCTAATTAATAAGTACATAATGGAATAAAATGGCATTAGGAAAGCTGTCAGTTTTATCATTGCTTAACATTGTTTGGCAAATGCAACACATTCAATCTGTCAAAAATAATTCAGATCACCACACAGACTGCTAGGAATATGGTCCACAATTTTTCTCTGATTTCCAAAAAGTGGAAAATCAAACCTTTATACCTCAGCTCTACATGCTTGCAGCTTTCTGCAGCATAATTTTGTGCATCTATGCTACAAAATATAAAAGAACATCAGAAATAACTGGAATAAGTCATTAAAGTAAAACAATAAAAACAATCATGGCTGCTAAATATATACAAAAATCAAAAAATAAAAGGTCTTAAGAATAATGACAAATTACTAAAATTATCCTAAGCTAATGACTTCTCCTTGTATAAACCTACAAGAAAAACAGCAGCAGTTCACTCAAATGTAATTGCTGTCATTTGGTATCTTTTCACATCAACTCTAGCTTGTTCAAGGAACAGGCACTACATATCATAACAGTCAGACTGTATCTGAAACAGCTCCAGATGCGGCTGCTGAATTTTTGAGATTGCCATAATGTGAAAGCAGATCAAAGCTCTAGGGCACAGCATATGCTTTGCATGCAGAAAAGTCTCATTTTCAATTGTTGGCATCTCCAGTTAACAAGAAGAGACAAACCTTTGCTTTAGATCTTACACAAAGGATACAATACAAACCTGAGCTAAGTATATGGCAGCTGATTATGGGCCCTTCCACACAGTCTATATCCAAGAATATCAAGGCAGAAAATCCCACAATATCTGAGTGTGGACTCAGACAACCCAGTTCAAAGCAGATATTGTGGGATTTTCTGCCTTGATATTCTGAGATACAGAGCTGTGTAAAAGGGCCCTACTTTGCACAGAACAGCAGAAGGGTCTCTTCTGCCTAGTCAATAAACATGGACAGTCCACACTGGAGATTGATGTAAATTAATACAGAGATCTTCTGGAAATAGCAGCCATGACATCTTGGGGTCTGTTTATACACACAATGATGGCATTTCAAAGAGAAATGTATGGTGGAAAGCCATTTATGTGAAATGGCTTGGAAGATTTCAACCATGTTTCTGTAAAAATCCACACTGCTTTCAAAGGGCCACCAAGGGAAATGGATTTAATGACTGAAGAGACATAATGGATTAAACAGAGATCTTTGTTCCAGGAGCCAAAATAAAGGTTTTCTTTATATTCTACTATTATTTAACCCATTAGTGACAACATCTATTCAGAACTCTTGTTGGCTTGGTGTACCTATTTGTAATCAGAAAACCCTACTTTTAAGTTAACCCAAGTTTCGGTTTCCCTGTTCCCATGTAACTAATGAAAAGGACTTACAAACATCAACACTTGCTTACATTGCAGAAAACTTAGTTCTACCCTACTTTAGTACACAGACCTTTGTTCACTGAAAAGCATTTCAACTCATTATTTGCTGAAGTTACAAAGACGGGCAAAAACGTTGCCCAGCTGTCAAATATTCCAGACCTCTTCATGTGCAACTGATTGCCTGCACCACCCTTTACTTTGCTTACATTCTGTTACTGAAAGCAATTATCTCCTGGCATGCTGGGTACATTTTCTGTAATATTGTTACAGCAATGCGCACAGAGAAAAGCCTTTCTGGAAACACATAATGAAATGTTTAACATGAAAAATTAGTCTATTTTATAATAAGGACTTTAGAGACAAACTGCCCTGTAATAGTTATGAATGATATAAATTAACCAAGCACATTTTTATCAACAATATTATGGCTGACTGTTAGAGATGTTGTTTGAAGGCTCATCTTTGCCTTGTTCTGTAATACCATCAGAGCAACATTTCCTACTGCAACACTTAGCTGTGCATTTCCTAACCTTTTTGGAGTATCTCAGTCCACAAAACTCCATATGGAAACTTTGTAAGAGTTTTGTAGATTTGCTGAGAGGACCTAGAGAGCCAGTCTAGTAAAATGCAACATGAAAGTGTTAGTCAATATTTATTTGTCGAAGGCCTTACTGAAATCCAGGTACGCTACATCCACAGCATTCCCCGCATCTACCCAGCTTGTAGCTCTATCGAAGAAAGAGATCAGATTAGTCTGGCATGACTTGTTTTTGATAAATCCATGTTGACTATTAGCGATGACTGCATTTGTTTCTAAGTGTTTGCAGACCGCTTCCTTAACAATCTTTTCCAGAATCTTGCCCGGTATCGACGTGAGGCTGACCGGACGGTAGTTGTTTGGGTCATCCTTTTTTCCCTTCTTGAAGATTGGGACCACATTGGCCCTCCTCCAATCTGCTGGAACTTCTCCCGTTCTCCAAGAACTCTCAAAGATGGTTGCCAATGGTTCCGAAATGACTTCCGCTAGTTCCTTCAATACTCTGGGGTGTAGTTGATCTGGCCCTGGGGACTTGAACTCATTAAGAGTGGCCAGGTATTCCTGGACGACTTCTTTCCCAATTTGGGGTTGGATGTCCTCCAATCCCTCATCCACTCCATCTTGCTGAGGTTGAAGACTCTCTTTTTGTGAGAAGACCGAGGCAACGAAGGCATTAAGTAGTTCTGCCTTTTCCCTATCCCCTGTCAGCATTGCCCCATCTTCTCCTCGAAGAGGTCCTATCGCCTCCTTGTTTTTCCTTTTTCTACTGACATAAGAATAGAAGCCCTTTTTATTGTTTTTAATGTCCCTGGCAAGTCTGAGCTCGTTTTTTGCTTTAGCCTTGCAGACCTTTTCCCTACAGGTGTTGGCTATTTGTTTGAATTCTTCTTTGGTGATTTCTCCCTTTTTCCACTTCTTGTGCATGTCTCTTTTGTGTCTTAGCACAGTTAGAAGTTCTTTGGACATCCATTCTGGCTTCTTTGCACTTTTCCTATTTTTTCTCTTTGTTGGCACGGTTTGCAATTGCGCCTTGAGTATTTCACTCTTGAGAAATTCCCATCCATCCGTAACTCCCTTGTCTTTTAGTATCTGTGTCCACGGAATGCTGCTCAGCGTTTCCTTCATTTTTTGGAAATCAGCTCTCCTAAAGTCCAAAATGCGGGTTTGACTTGTCTTAGTTTCGGCCTTCCTTTGTACCTCAATTGCAGG